TGCTGCCTGTGTTACATCTGCTCTCTGCAATTACCTGGAGCCAGGTGGGGGGCAGGCTCTTCTCCCAGATAACAACTGAACTAAAGGAAATGGACTCAAGTTGCACCAGGGGAGGTTTAGATTAGATATCAGGAAAAATTGCTTTACTGGAAAGGTGATCATGCACTGGAACAGGATGCTCAAGGAAGTAATGGAATTACCATTCCTGGAAGTGTTCAAAAAACATGTAAATGTGGCACTTAGGGGCATGGTTTCGTGGTGGCCTTAGCAGAGCTGGATTAGTGCTTGCACTTGATGGTCTTTTCCAACTTTAATGTTTCAATGATTCTATAAATTGTTTATATATAAAACCCCAGATATATGTGTGTGTAAATATTTGCGTCTATATACATACATGTACATAAATACAAATGCAACTCACTGCACTGGTTTTTCTGCAGAGATTGTGTAGGACCATGTTCATTGGAAGTGTCATGTCAATACCACTTCTTTTCTGATTGAAATGATGATGATAATGGATAAAATCAGMAGAATAAATGCAAATTGGGAATACATATATTTCCTGTTTTAAAAGAGTCAGCCTCACAAAGTACACAAGTAAGAGAGAAAACTTTTGTTAGGCTTGTGAATGGTAATTAGGAAATCATTTAAAAGATATTGCTYGAAAAGACATCATCAAATAAAGAAGGTGATTAATTTAGGTCTTGATTTTAAGAAAGAAGATCTTGAAATTCAGACGGACTTTTTTTTTAAATTCTTTAATTAAAATTTTAAAATTATAATGTTAATTAAGTTTAATAAAAGCATAATTATCAAGGAGTAGAAAGGAGACATTAATTTGAATGAATATAAATCCAAAAGGAATTACAAGAATGTGATAAAACATACRAACAACAAAAATTAATGGACAGATGGTCAAAGACAATATTGTTTTATGTAAATTGAGACTAARAGAAAGTCTGGTAGAAGTCTGTAGTTGGTGGAAGTTGTGGAATTGTCAGTAGAAAAATCAGGTAACACAGGGGTTCAACAGTCATTTTTGTTGCATATTGAAAAATATATATGAGTTGTATAATAGAGATTACTAATATTACTTAATTCTTGAAATTTCAATGTCCAAAAACTGCTCTGGAAGTCACAAATTTTAAAACCCCTATCTGTTTGGACTGTATCCAAGATCTTCAAAATAACTTTCTGGCAGGCAATAACAATTTTCTTTGTCATCAGTTCTCAGGAAACTGGGTGGAAGGAAAGACTATTCTCATCCAGCAGCATCTCTGAGATTTTTCACCTCTGGGCTGGTCACCCTACATTCCTTTTATGTCCACTGAGAAGTAGAAGCATTTCTAAAATGAATTTCATCTGACCAAAAGCTGACATGTGYGTTTGGTCAAAATAATCACATCCTAATGAGAAATCCACACTTTTTTTTAGAAAACCAACAGGATGCCCGGACTTTCTCAGATCTGCCTGCAAGGCATCGGTCCTGGTTTTCCTTGTGATGCTGGGGGAGAGGTCCTGTTGTTGGAGGTCTAAGCAAGGTCATCTTGTGTAGGACTGAGCATTTGACTGGGGATRGGAAAGATGAGCTATGTTCTAATASTACAATTCAGGCAAATGTTGATGCATTGAAAATAATCAGGGAAGAGTTATGAACCTTCTCAGATGCTCTGCAAGCTAATGGAATACTGAGAGATCCTGGTAAGCATTACTTATTTTCGTAGTGTAAAAATACGACCATGGACTTAATACAAATGCACAAAAAATACATACAAATAGGGGGAAATACTAATAACTGCATAATAATAAGTAGGATTTTCTATTAATGACATTCCTGTTATGCAAGCTGCCTTCTGCAAGCATCTACCTATCCTGATGTCAGCTGACTCTAAAGGGTGCTTAGATTACTAATTCAGACACATCTATATAYACTGTAAAGGGTGATTTGGGCTGAAAGTGGTATTTAAACAGCAGGGTCAAATCTTGCTCCTTTATAATCAAAAGTATGATTAAAGAATTGGTGAAGATGCCTTACAATAAGAAAGTCAGGAAGTTCAATCTATTTCATTTACTAAAACAAGGCCAAAAGGTCCATAATCACAGCCTGACACTGCTTACAGGGATAATCTCAATAATGACTTCTCAACCTGTCTGGCAAAATACAACAAAATTCAGTGGCTGGAAGCTGAAGGTAACTCAGACTAGAAACCAAATGTAATTATTGGCAGCAACAAAAAATAATTCTGAGGGTGGCTGTGATACTTTAASTAAAGAACCCTCAAAATCAAAATCAAATTTATTTAAAAAAATATGCTGTAAATCAGGCAAACAATAATTGAGGAGAGAATATGCCTTTTGCTGTGTCAGATTCAGGCCAGTGTCTCAGAACCTAATAATCTAAGAATCTGTAAACCCACCATCCAGGAGGCTTCCTGTTTTGATCTGTCTAAAAGAACTGTTATCTCAATGCTTATAATGGTGACATTGAATCACTGTTAATAAATATATGCATAATGTTCAAAGCAGGTTAATTACCATTTTTTCCAGCTCCAACCTCTCATATGATTTGCCACTACCTCTTATAGCAGCCTTGTTTTGAAAACTAATTCCCATTATCTAAAAGACTTTCCAAAGCAAACACAGCAGTGTAGCACTTTCTGATATTTATTTTGTTTTCTCAATGAAGAGGCAATACTGGTAGGGGAGAGAGTTCTTCTTCTGCAGGGGTACTTGTGTCCACTGCAGTTTTACTTAGTCCAARGAGCAGGTCCATGGGGCAAGTGCCTTGCTTTATAACTTCTGAATATGCAGTAGGTGGTTTATTTYATGGGAATTAGGTAAAGGGAATTCTGGCAGCAGCAAATTCTGCCTAACTGCCTAGATGCAGGACACTGAAAATGAAAAGAGGTTTCGTATACTGACAAAGATGCATAGTTTTAAAGTCACTATGATTCTCCCTCTAGCCTGCTTTCCTACCTATTTTTGAAAAAAAATTAAAAAGCATCAACCAAAACCTTCTCCTGTGGAAACCTGCCTCCTGCTTTGAGGTGTTTGACTGCATGGGGAGCACCCATCACCCATTCCCCAGGCTCGTGTGCTGTGGATGGCAAACTCGGTGGTGCTGGGAACACTCGGTGGACATGTGCAGCACACCGTGTGCGTTCACAGCATTATCACCCACCCAGATTAGCAGCTGAGCACTGCTGGGTACAGACAGCAATGCCTGCAGGTAAATACGGGCCTTGCAAGATATGGCTGAGTTGCTGACTCCATTGCAGGCTCCTTGCCCGACCTTGGGACTGGAGCACTGTCTGCCTCTGTGTTTAAAAAGTTAAGATAATATTACTTGTCTACCTCACAAGGATTTTTGTGAGGTTAGAGACACTGTTTATTCAAGCTATATGTAAAGTGTTACAGCAAGGAGAGCAATGTAAATACCTGTGCTCATGTAACCTCAAATAAAGCRCTACCCCTCTTGCTAGAGGAAAGCACACTTCATGCCCATCAGTCCCTACAATGTCCCAGGACAGCCTACACACAGTTTTTCCCCCCTCAGAGATAAAGAAACCTCAGTGGCGATGGAGTCTCAGTGGGGAAACCTGCAGTGAGTGAGTACAGAGCACTTCATAGCACGGGTTTTGCTGTGATTTACAGTTTTGTGCTYGGTGAGGAGCAATAGCTTATTGAGGGGTGGCTTATCCCATTAGTCCCAGTCTTGGTTGTCCAGTGGAACTGGGGAACAATGGGGAGCAGTGAAGGCCCCGAGATGCATTCAGAGGCATAGCTGCCTGTGACAGACACCCTTGGGAGCACACGCACATGCCATATGCTGTATGCACATCGTAAGAGTCGCTTAACCAGGGCTTTACAAATATTTTCAAAGTGCTTTACAAACAAATCATTAATAGATGACATATTTTTGCTAAAGGTACAACCAGCTCAACCAGATTTTATTACAGGTGTAAATAATATCAAGAGAATTTAAGTGTGAGCCTCATTTCTCTGCTCTTAATCCCTTCTCCTGCTGACATGTTAAAAGTCTGCTTAATCATCCAGCTCTTGCCTCCCAAATTCACAAATGCTTCATCCACACTTACTTATTTTACGGGGATTTAGACGAATGCCAGGAGGTACCTATCAGTGCCGTACAGGTTTCACGGCCCCAATGAAAAAACAAACAACACTACTAGATGTGACCCAGCAGTGTGATTTAACCCATTGTGAAGAGAAAGTGGCAGCTTAGAAAGCCCCCCGGATATTTTTAACCCAAGAGTGGAAGAGCTGGGCACTTTGGGCTGGAGAAAGGCCAGAAGTGAGGGGAGGATTGGGGCACTATGAGCCCAAAYACATCTGCTGAGCCCAAACGTATCTGCACAGTGCTCAGCCTACCCTGTTCCTRTGAAGCCAAACTTGGGGTGCCCCTGGAACCAAGAGCCATGGTGGGAACACTGGGGAGAGCGACGATGTCTCCCAGGGGCGCTGGCCACACGGGACCGAAGAGGGGGAYCTGTTGTGGGGAGAGGAGACACGGCCAGGAATCCCCGCGGTTTGTGTAGGATGAAGGATCGGGGGTGCAGGTAGCGGGTCCCGAAGGAGACGGAGCCCCTGCGAGGAGCGGTGCGATGCAGCCGGTGGAAGGGCGCTCCTCGGTGTTGGGGGTGAGGGTCGGGGCTCGGCAGGGCGCAGGGGCGGAGGGAAGCGCTCGGCGGCGGGATGAGGGGACAGGTAGGACCCCGCGCCCTGCCCTGCCCTGCCCTGCCTGCCCTCCCTGCGCTGAGGTGCGGCGGGGCGCTGCGCGGGGCGGGCTCCCGCGGCGGGGGCGGTGGCGCCGGGAGGGCCGGGCCGGGAGGCGCGTTCCTCCCCTGGGCCGTTTCTCGGCGAGGCTCTGTTTAATAGCGGGGCCGCCCCCGGCCCGCCCCGTTGGAGCCGGCCCGTGCGGCACGGCGCGGCCGGGGCCGGGGCCGGGGCCGCTGCGGGCCATGGCGGGGGGCGGCGGGGGGGCGGCCGGCCGCGCCCGGCTCCTGGCCGTGCTGCTGGCGGGGCTGCTCGGCGGGGCGCGGGGCTTCGGCGACGAGGAGGAGCGGCGCTGCGACGCCATCCGCATCGCCATGTGCCAGAACCTGGGCTACAATGTCACCAAGATGCCCAACCTGGTGGGGCACGAGCTGCAGGCGGACGCGGAGCTGCAGCTCACCACCTTCACCCCCCTCATCCAGTACGGCTGCTCCAGCCAGCTCCAGGTGCGTCGGGGCTCCGGGGGGACCTGGGTGCGGAGGGCGAGGTGGGGACACGCTACGGGATCGTGCGCTCCCCGGGCYGGCTGCTGTCCCCCAGCACCCCCATCCCCATCCCCTCGACTCAGTACAAAACCAAGCCGAAAGTCCCGCCGCCTCGCAGTGTCGCTCCTGGCTGGCTGGGGAGAGAGCACGGCTCACGTTGGGCGGAGGTTCGGGGAGCCGGCGGTGTCCCGGCGSTGTCCCGGCSGTGTCCCGGCCGTGTCCCGGCTGCCCGCTCTCCCGCGGAGGCTGCGGCGACTCCCGGATCTTTCCCTGCCGCTGCCCTTCGTCCCGGCCGTGCCCCGGGTGCCGCGCCCGATTCCATGCGGAACGAGCGGAGCTGGCCGCGGGGAGCTGGGGCAGCTCGGGACCTCGCCGGGAGCTTCACCGCGGAAGTTTCTTTCCCAGGCGAATGGCAGGATCCCTGTCCTCCCCACGGGCATGGATTTCTTCAAACAAAACCCAGTTTGTTTCTCGGGGCAGAGTTCCCGAGTCAGCACGCAATTCCTCTCACGGTGTCGCGTCGCCGAATTACGRTTATTCAAAAGACGAGAAAACTACAATATTTTATTACCGTTGTAAATGCATACGTGACCTTATTGTAAAAGAAGTACATTTTTCTAGGAGGATCGTGAACCAAAATATTTCAATAATTGTTTTTTTTTTTTCTCTGATTTGTTTCTTAACTGGAATATCCAGGCAGTGCTCAGAACAAATATATGCATTTGTTTAAACCACTCTAGTTTGGTTTTCTGCTTTCTTAAATTGTACTCTTGAGGTTTAAATCTGGCTAAATYTCACTTGCTTCATTGGAACTGATGGGCTAAATTTACACGGGCTAATCTAGGGAGTAAAATGTTCAGGCTTTGACTTCAGACCACATTTTAACTGAAAGAAGACAACATTGGGGTTTTTTCTCTTTTGTTTTTATTGTCCTTAGTTTATTTGTTTTATGCTGCTTCCTGTTTTTTTAAGGCAAAGGATCAACTATTACTGCTAAAAATGCAAAAAAAAAGGAGAAAACTTGTTATATTTTAACCTGTTTCATTTTCCCGAGATGCATTTATGATTTCTGTTTTTCTCTTCCAGTTCTTCCTGTGTTCGGTTTATGTCCCAATGTGCACAGAGAAGATTAACATCCCCATAGGTCCCTGTGGAGGCATGTGCCTCTCTGTCAAAAGGAGATGTGAACCTGTTTTAAAAGAATTTGGGTTTGCYTGGCCAGACAGCCTAAACTGCAGCAAATTCCCACCCCAGAATGATCACAACCACATGTGCATGGAGGGCCCAGGAGATGAAGAAGTTCCCCTTCACAGCAAGACCTCCTTGCAGCCYGGAGAAGAGTGCCACGGCATGGGATCTAACTCGGATCAGTACATTTGGGTGAAGAGAAGCTTGAGCTGTGTCCTGAAGTGTGGCTACGATGCTGGTCTGTACAGCAGGTCAGCTAAGGAATTCACAGATATCTGGATGGCCATATGGGCCAGTCTTTGCTTCATCTCGACTGCCTTCACGGTCCTGACCTTCCTGATTGATTCATCCAGATTTTCCTACCCGGAGCGACCAATCATATTTTTGAGCATGTGCTACAATATTTATAGCATTGCTTATATTGTGAGGCTAACTGTGGGCCGGGAAAGGATATCCTGTGATTTTGAAGAGGCAGCAGAACCTGTTCTTATCCAAGAAGGTCTTAAGAACACAGGATGTGCGATAATTTTCTTGCTGATGTACTTTTTCGGGATGGCTAGCTCCATCTGGTGGGTTATTCTGACACTGACGTGGTTTCTKGCTGCCGGACTCAAGTGGGGCCACGAAGCTATCGAAATGCACAGCTCCTATTTCCACATCGCAGCCTGGGCCATCCCGGCGGTGAAGACCATTGTCATTTTGATTATGAGACTTGTAGATGCAGATGAGCTCACCGGCCTCTGCTACGTTGGCAACCAGAACCTGGATGCGCTSACGGGCTTTGTTGTGGCTCCGCTTTTTACCTACTTGGTCATTGGGACTTTATTCATTGCAGCAGGACTCGTGGCCTTATTTAAAATCAGGTCTAATCTCCAGAARGACGGAACTAAAACTGACAAACTGGAAAGACTGATGGTCAAAATCGGGGTCTTTTCAGTGCTGTACACCGTCCCAGCAACCTGTGTCATCGCCTGTTATTTCTACGAAATCTCCAACTGGGCCATTTTCCGCTATTCGGCAGATGATTCCAATATGGCAGTGGAGATGCTCAAAATTTTCATGTCCCTTCTGGTGGGTATTACGTCAGGTATGTGGATCTGGTCAGCCAAAACTCTGCACACGTGGCAGAAGTGTTCCAACAGACTGGTGAACTCAGGGAAAGTGAAACGGGAGAAGAGAGCAGACGGTTGGGTGAAACCTGGGAAAGGGAATGAGACCGTGGTATGAGAAAAGGACAGCACTCCTTTGGTGGTCTGACTGCTCTYCTGTGAAGGACTGATCATGTGTAAGCATTGCCATGTAAATGTTGGGAGTAGAGTAGGGAGACRGTTACACAACCTGTCCCTGGGGTTGGGGGAAAAAAAAGCCTTAAAGAATAAAYAGTAAAAAGATCATGCTGCAGATACAATAGCCATAAACCATGCTGCCCAAAATAGGAGAGCCCAGGGAGGCTTTAAAAGCTGTGAAATATCCAAACATGTTATCTTCCTTTTTTTTTTTTTTTAATTTTTAAAGCATGATGCAATTACTGAAGTCTTGAAGTCTTTAGAAACKGAGGTGCTGTAGCCCATAGCTGTGGGATGATGTTTTCCTTTCATCACCTGACAGAGGAAGGAAGTCCAGGGCCAAATTCTGGGCTTAACTAGGGTCCAGTTACCAAGTTACCAGAAGATGGAGCACYTAGGACCTCAGTTAGATGTCTTCTTTCCGAGTTCAGCATTGAGAAGGAAACACTTGATGAGGATTGTGTCTTTATGCCCTGGGGAATTCTGATGTTCCAATACACTGTACAATTCAGTCAGGGGTCATATCCTGAAACAAATAGCAAATGATCTWTCCAGGTCTCACCTATGATGAGTGGGATTTAGTGAGGTATTAGTGAGGATGACTTTTAAGTCATCTAATGGCCTAATAATAATTTTGACTCATTCTTTTTACCATTTGTAACCTGGTCTGAATGGAAAGTTGATTCTGCCTTGTGGGAATTTGAACTTCCCTGTGTTTCTTCCCACCTGAATTATTCTGTGGTTCTATCAATATTTCTAAATTCTAAAAGCTTTACTCAAGGCAGCTTTACCCTCAGAAGCAGAGGAATCAGCTCAAAGTGGGAAACTGTGTATGATTTTCTACATCTGTTATCATTATCTGTCCCCATTCCTGCCCCTTCAGGTGCTCCTGCTATTTCTAGCAGACCACTTTATTCTGCTGCATTTATTAGCTAAAAAAAGTCTTAACAATATAGCGTTCCTTCCTCCAGGAAAGAGAAAACTTAGTTGAAGGTACCTTCAAACAATGCCATCTTTCTCCAAGCAACTTGTCTCTCTCTGGAAACTCATTGCATGAAGCAATTAAGTCTTAATGTATTTCATTCAGTGTGATGGTATCTCCTCTGTAGACGCCAGTCTGGGGAGAAGCAAAATGTTAAGTTCCTTGGCAACCTCATGTTCAAACAGATCAGTTGTATAATTATGTGTGTCAATTGCAATTAAAAGATTCTCAGCCCATGACATTGCAGTACAGCTGACTGCCTCACAACCATGCWTCAATTGTTCACTGACAGCTATGGAGACATCTTTAAAATGTGTATTTATGCACAGAATGTGTGCAAGCATTCAGTCCTCAGGAGCAACGAAGACCTTTCTAGTTTTTGTAAAGGGATCCAACAAATCCACCTTCTTGGTGAATAATGTTTCAAATCAACCACTGAGGGATTTTATCCTTGTATTTGAGGAGGCATTGACTTGTGCTCGTGGGGAGCTGAATGTAGTGTCAGGGGCGTGTTTGGCTGGTAAGAAAGGTAATACAAATATCCCAGAAACACTTAAGAGAACACTGTTCTGATGCTCTGTCTCTTTGAAAGACCTTTGGTTTTATCTGTGTGCCCCAAGCTTTTGCTTTCTTTGTTTGTGTGCAACCTGATTGGATACAGAGCATCCCCCTGGTGCCCCAACTCCTGTGATCTTCCAGGGCAGCTAAGAACAGATGCTGCTTTATTAAAGTACTTGCTTTTCACACAGGTGCCCATGTGCTTCCCAAACCACAATTCACTCCAGCTCTGGAAGTGAGCACTAATCCATCCCAGAAGCATGTATTGTTTCAATGTCAGTGTCGAAACATGTGCTAAAGAACTTTTTTTTTAAAAACAAAAAAAAAACAGACCCCAAACAAACCCTAATGGCAGTCTGTGGTTGGGCTCCCTCTCCAGCAGAACAAGTGACAACTTGACACATTCTGCCTAAGACACACAAGCACTGTCTTGGCCAATTCCACATTCCAGCTGGGCCTTTTCACCCTCTCCCAAAGCCTTTTGCTGTTAGTGTTGTGTTTGGATCTGGTTATTCCTTTGTGGACAAGRAGTTTTGCAAGCGGGAGATCTTCACATGGCTGAGCTTCTTCMTCATGCAGTCTTTCTGCTGGTGCAGTGTGGAATGTAAAGTCAGCAGCTGTGTGTTGGCTTTCAAGGAGCAAGGATGCAGTATGACCCTTTTTGYTGTAACCTAGTATTTGGCCATGCCAAAGTGTCGTGTTCATTCAAGGTGTCCTTCACTCTGAAGTGCTTTGAATACTCTCCTGGCCAATAAGACCCATGTTTGACCAGACTGATTCAATAAATGGCGTTTTTAACCTTGTTATGTACACAGAAGTGAATGTTAAGTACTGCTTTGTTATCAAATCCTTGCATCTGTGCCTGTGACCCTGTGAACTGTTGGCAGAAGGATGCCCCCAGTGATKTGAGACAAAGTGAGCTGGATGAGGATGGTCCTGTGCAGTCCTGTGAGGGACCTGGGGAGATATTCCATTAAAGCATGTGAGGGAATCAAATGCTACAGGAAAGAGGTGAGCRGGGGGGAGACACCAGCTGCTGTTCCTGAAGAAACATCTTTCCCCAGTGGTTGGGGGAACGCCATGCCGACCCAAAGTGAAATTAGTTGATGCCTTAATGAAACCATTCCATCATTTTATTCACCCACATGCATTTACCTGGCTCTGCTTTGGGGCTGTGTGAACGGGTAGTCACAGCAGACAGCATAAAGCCTGGCTCTTTCGAAGAGCAGCTCTTATGTTCTCCCATTTCAACATTGTTATGAGCTTAAAGCCAAAGCGGGTGTGACTAATCCTGTCTCGGAAGTGCAGTTGCTGTGGTTATACAACCAGAAACTGTACAGGTGTTTCCTTCGATTGCACAGCCCCTGCTCCCATCTCCCCGCTCAGCGTGTGCTCTTGGCACTGCAGGTTTCACAAGCGTCTGCCAGAGAGGTACAAGCTTAGCTCTTACAGTAAACACACAAGTTAGCTCCTTTTTTTGAATTTTAAGGAAATAGACACTGATTATTTTGGGGTGTACAGAAAAGATATCTACTTCAATGTATGTACTGTAAATTTCTAATTTATCACTGTAAAAAWACCAAAGCAACTTTGCTATTTAATTTTTGTATCAAAATAAAACTTTAACCTCTGTGGATAACTAAAGAATTCCTGGCAGCCTTTAYATTTTTGGTGAGTTTGTTTCTTAAATGGCCTTCAGCCTTGCTGGCAGTGCTTTTTTTCCCCTGAAGAAAGAAGAATTGAAATGCTCATGCTGTGGTGAAAGGATACTTTGAATGGCTTAATCCAGCACTGTTTGGATGTAATACCTGAGAACAAGAAATCGTCGGGCAAMAGTGAAAGTATGTTCATGTTTCTGCACGTGGGGTGGACAGAAACCATCTCAAAGACAGGTCCTGGGTGCTGGGTGCAGCTGGAGCTTTGGTGTTGTGGGAGCATGTTCTCAAATCCCAGTGGGAGGACAATATGGAAACATGGCCAGCTGCTGCTCTAGCACTGCTGTGAYGTGGCTCCTGAGAAGAGCAGCACCTCCTGCAAGGTTCTTTTGATTTCAGGTGTCATGGAATACACGCATCCAAAGCACGAACGTTCAGATTCGGAGCATATGGTGGAGGAGGGTGGTTTCACCATCAGCCTGTTCAGTATATGTGGCTTTTGAAAGGGGAAAATACAAATCTTAGTAACCTTCTTGAAATAAGTTAATTCCTATGGTTGATTTCAGTGATTTCTTCCATTCAGCAGAGAGATTCAATTGAATGTCTACATTTTCTAGCAGTGGTTTTCTAAAAACTTAAGCTTACTAATACTCTACTTTTCATTCCTGTTTGTCATTTCTGTTTACAGTTGRGATGCATGGGAACAGCAAAGAGTTGCTTTTTGTGTGCATCCCTCACTAGTTTCTCTTGACACTGATTGAAAAGTATGCAATATTAATCATCTAAACCTACTTAATTGTCTCCATCATGAAACATTCTGTGTGTGGGATTCTTAATTAGCAGAATGTTATTGTAATAAGAACCTAAATCAGACTAGAGTGGATAATAGTGAGGGTGTGCTATAAAGAAGAGTAGCAACTATCACCTGTGTATCTGTAGCTAATCAACTTTGAAGAGCAGCAYCTAAAACTGGTAATTATGAATGATTTGCTCATGCCTTTGGCAGCTCATCATTGTAATGTAATGTTCTTGGGTTGGTGATTAATGAGATCTCTCAAACTTATCCTAATGAGTCTTTAATAAAGCTACTGTTAACTGTAACAAATGTAAAAGAGCTGCTGGGGGAGAGAGCRCAATCTCCCTCTTGTTTACACCACCTGAAAACCTGGGGTACTTGCCTTTACACACATCCCTCACATCGGGTGTCTCAGAGCATCACCTCTGAAGTGATGRGGGAGTGCTGGAGTGGCTCTGAATGGTGAACAAGCTCCCCAAGCCACAGGAACCCACAAATCAACTCAGGTTTGCCCGTTGAGGGGAGTATGTATCTCTACACAATGCTCACAAAAAAATTAGCCTTTATGAGAACTTTTTGTGGTTCTTTTAATATTCAGCCTTGGGGTTTTTTACTTGGTTGGTTTTGTCTTGCTTTTTTTTTTTTTTTTTTTTTTTTTTTTTTTTTTTTTTTTTTTT